CCAAACATAATTCTCATTCATCAAGAAATAACAAGTGTAATATCCACTAAAGCAACATTTAAGTATATAACACCAACATAAAAGGCTCATGATCATCCCTAAATCAACTATATAAATTCACTAATTTAATATGTTGATGTAGTAATGACTCATATTAAGTCAAAACACCTCGTTTTTGATAAAAAAAATCAGTCACACGACTCGTGTTACAAGTCACACGACTCGTGTGGCTCACTCACACGACTCGTGTGAAAAATTCGAAAGTGACTATGAAAAATTTCAGAAATTTTTATGTCACACGAGTCGTGTCACACCTCACACGACTCGTGTGAGGTGACACGACCGGTCACATGACTCGTGTGACTCCTCACACGGGTCGTGTGACCCCACTCGACCAGTCACACGAGTCGTGTCATCCTTTACGACTCGTGTTTTCGAATACTCTATTCGATTTTTATTCCAGTTCGTGTTTTTAACAATTTTTCAAATCAAAATCTGATTTTAAAGATGCAAATTGTAACGTGGCTCTGATACATGAGTGATTGGAACTAGGGCAAGTGGGAGATTTTTAGAGTAGTATACCCGGCGTTCCAATCTGATTGGACGTATTCTACTTGTAAATACAATCTATTGGAATTATATTAAATAATAAGGCATTACTTTATTTTAAGAGTAAGCATTTATCATATATTTGCACTTAAGATAAAGTCCCTAGATCACTTATAGCTATAAGATATGGTTGCGCATAGAGATGGTGATCATGGAACATATCTTGAAAGTTGTGATCTAAAATATAGTTCCAAGTCGTTGGATGTTTCGAGATGGGATATCGAATAAATCTGGAAAAGACTTGCACATAGTATGTATGCTTATCCCCCCCTATATATTAATCCAGAACGCGCTGAGCCTACGTGGCTGCTTCTGGTGCTTCGGAATCCTATGTGGCAAAATTACATGCTTCGTTATTAGGCTTGGGTAAATTTTAATTTAATTCCAAACCAAAAATAATTGGTTCGGATTACCATAAATATGTTGATTATTTATGGTCATGTTACATGCATTAATTGCATTTTAATATCATTCCTTATTATAACTATTGATTTGTATATTTATTTTAAAAGTTAATAACTTTTATATTTTTTTATCAGTTTTACATATGTAATATATCAAATTAATCTTCTTTTGATGAGCTTCGATTTAACATCCATATTGTAT